GGGTGGGGGGGGGGCAAAAAATCGATTAACTTTCCGGGGGGGGGGGCAAAAAATTTTTAGTAATGTTTTAATGTAGTTTAATTTACTGTAGCGTATTTGTATGGTGGACGTACGGACAGGACATCAGCTTAGTTACTTTCTCTTTATTTTCTCTTTACTTTAATACATTTTTTGTCTATTTTTGTCTAAAAAAATTGTATCCAATCAATCCAGGGGGGGGGGGCAAGTGCCCCCCTTGCCCCCCCCCCTGCGGGCGCCCATGTTGTCTACCAATATTATTCAAAGGTTGAATAATACTCGAAACTTCACCAAATGTAATTGAACAATTCTTCTTTTAAAATGAAACAAAATAGAAGACTTATTTATCACAACAAAACAAAGACATATTCATAGACCGTGGCGCACCTCGACTAAATAGGCCTACACACGGTGCGTACATCCAAAAGTGCCGCCCCTTCACACACCAATCATTTATATATACATGCAAACTCAAAAGTGACGCTCGGGGCCGTTGCCCTCTTAGCCTACCCTTAACCCCCCTCCCCGATAGGCCACTGATCAAAGACGTCTTAACTTAATTACAATGATTGAATGAATGACGAAGCTGGGATTTCCCGTTCATTTTTTTGTTTCAAAATCTTTTTGTACTAATTTTGGGACTCTTGCGAACAATATATTAATAAATAAATAGTGGAACAAGATTATTTTAGGTCTTTTTTTTTTACTAAATATCGATGTTTCTTAAACTAGGCCCTTCTCTAAAAATAACAACCGAGTCTAGATCAGAAGATGCCAATTCTTTGCTCTGAGTCTGAGGGTACCACTGTAGTGTAGTTCAATATTTTAAAGACAGTCCGTATATTCAATGAAGAGGTGCATAAAATTAGGAACATGAAGGGAAGATAGAAAGCCAGCCTATTTAACACGGCGCAGGCACTGCTGATGATTTGATGGCCACAAGAATTGGTGATTGCCACAAGTGTTACTGGCGCTAAAAGCATTACTCATTACCATCGTCTGCTCTGTTCATGTCACGGGTGGATAAATACGCTAAAATAAATGTCTTATAATAATCAATAATAATCAATAAATGTGTATAGTATAATGGCAGACAAATTAGGAAGGTGGTTGAAAATGACATTATTAATAGGCAATAGGCAACATTGTTTCAATTCATTTCATTGATTGAAAAATTAGCAAGTTGTTCTGCTTATAAATTAAATTAAAATTTAAAATTTACCTTCAGTCAAAATTCCATGAATTTTAAGTTAAGTGTTTCTTTCGATACACATTACACAGTAAACTAATTCCTTAGTGAATAGTTAAAAAGTCAGAAACACACTACACAGCCTAAGAAAGACGGAAGGTTACACAATGCACAAGATACGTCTCGAATGTTGTGATATCAGATAAGAATTATTGTCCCAAAAGATGGCGTTTAAAATAAGTTTGGGTTTTTCCGAAGACTTTAATAAAATCGGAAATTCGTCGGTCCAAAATTCCGTTATCTCGTCCAACCTACTCACGGAAAAGTCCAATTTTATAAGCTTTTTTTATGTCCTACTTTGTTAAACAGAGATGAAAGAACAAAACTAT